ACAACCGGAGATGACATGCCTAAGTGACTCACCGGGATGGCGACAAGCTCGACAGATGTCGACGGTGCCATCCTTTAGGATGTATCTGCGATAGTTGTTGGTCTTAATTACCTGATTTTGTATTGCACAGCCAAAACCCTCGGTTTCTCCGAAGAGGTCACCAAAGCCTAGCCAGTGGAGGGAGGCTACTGTGTTTACGAAAGGCTCATGTAGAGCCTTGTAGAACCTCCCGTGGGGCTCTTTCTCCTTCCATACGGTCTCCCGGTCGGAAATGCTATGTACTACCGCGTCTTGCCATTGCTCGTTGGCTAAGAATAGAGGGGTAAATCCTTTATCACAAGAAATGACATCCTTATAGAATTGATCATCCGATCACGCCAGGAAGTAATTACGGAGGCTGTACACTTCGCAATTATGCACGGTGAGCGCGCTCAAGAAGCCACGCCCACCATGCTTTCGCGGCAAGTACAGCCTCATTACCGACAATCTCGGATGATGCATCCTATGGGACGTCATGGTAGTGCGGACTTTTCTATCCAAGACGTTAAGTTCAGTATGAGTCCTTCTGAGTATGCCAAAGGTATACATGAGAACAGGCATGACCCAACCGTTATGTGCGTGTGTCTTATTCACACCGGACAAAAGCCTGTTAAGCACTTTTGTCAAGCGTGCATAAAACACGTCGCAAACTGACTGTTTCATACCAGCCTCATCGATACCGATGTTCTGTGATATACCCAGGTATCGGTATGTTTCAGCCTCGGAAAGGGTCCTTAAGTTGACGGGCATAGGTAAGTCTATGAGAGTTAGCAACCCTTCCCCTTTCAACATGGAGGACCGCATACTTATCCGTCCCCAGCTCCATTCCAATGGAACTGCTAAATTCACAAGTGATGTTTAGCAATTCCATAAGATGGGAGTGACTGGAGGTCATCCGTATAGAAAAGGTGGGTCAAATTTGTCGCTCCTTTTCGTAGCTGAAATCCCCTCCAGGAGCCCTATAGTAAGATAGATGAAAGGGTTCAGAGAGAGGCAGAACCAGATTGGACTCAGACAATCGCCGTGGAAGATACCCCTTCTTATCCTTATGTGGTTCTCCGCAGCCATCATCCTCTCACCCAGATGACAAAGGATCGTACTCCACTGCCCCATACACTGCTTGAGGAAGTCTCTAACTGTACAGTCTATCTTGTACAGCTCGAGGACTCACTTTAGCCATGTATGGGGCACCGAGTCGAATGCCTTTCTGTAGTCTATCCAGGCGGTGGAGAAGTTCCGACGGTTGCGTTTCACCACTTTGCCAATGACCGCGCCAATGAGGAGTGGTTCCTTGGTTCCACGACTACCGCCCCGAAATCCATTTTGAGCGCGCGACATCACCTGCTTGGAGTCCAGGTGACGAGTGATTCTCGCCCTCAAAATGGATGTTAGTGTTTGTATATAATATATAATATAATATAATATTCCACAACTATCACACAACGCCATCTAGTCCCAAGCTAAGCAGAGCTTGTGTTATGGGTACTAGACAACTGATAAACATACTTATATATTTCTAAATACATAAATATTATAGATAAATTACTCCCAGACACAGAAATATGGAATATATGGTCGGTAGACACGTGATGGGGCGGTATTTGCTCGGATCTGTGGTACCCTGGTCTTTAGGAACCAAATGGGTGATCCCATTAGTGAAGAGGCTCGGAAGCGACTTCTGGTTGAGAGCCTCCTGAAACTGTCAGGCGAGCACGGTGTGACACACCACGAACCCCTTCAGCCAGTAGTGATGCAGCCCGTCGAGTCCCGGACTTTTCCAGTTTAGGGCCCTACGGACCGCCCCAGCTACGTCATCCGGTATTATAATGACGGGGTCCATGGGCGTTATACTCGCACACTGATTCGCCACAACTTTCGTTCAAGGGCCCTCACTGTGGTTTACGGGCTCTGACCACAGGCCGCGCCAGAATGCTACAGCGTCGGCCTCATTCGGTGCTGGGCCCGTTCCACTTACCATTGGTCGCTCCAATGATTTATAGAGCCTCTTCTGATCAAGAGACGATTCTGGTTGAACCGTGTCGACCTCTCGGTATATCGCCAAATCCGCTTTTCCCAAGCAGCGATTCTCTGCTTCAGATCATCTATGCGCTCCGTCAGTTTTTACGTTATATCCGGCTGGGACAAACTGACATTTGTACAAGCAAACGCCATCCTGACGTAGATTCTTGTCCTGTTATTGCCTGATCTGAAGCATATTAGTCTGCCGATGAGAGCTCTAGCCTTTGCGATACGTTCGTCAATTCTTCTTCCACATGCTGGAATAGCGCTACTTTAGTAGCGCGTTCAGCCGTGGAAACCTTGGCGCCTATAGTACGGCAGACTGCCAGCGCGGCGCCAAAAAGTTGAGCCTCTCGCAAATGTCCCGGCTGGCTTCCAAAGTCTCAGCTTGGGTTCAAGCCCTCGACAGCCCATTCTACTTGCTTAGGGCTATGCGGGGAAGTCGCGATCGATTTTTGAGAGGCGTACTTCGCGTTTCCACAATCGCTTTTTCAATGTACTCCTCATTTGCTCTATTTATTCTGGGTGTTCCATCATCATGCAACCTGGGGAATTCACGGCGGCATCCACGGGTGTGGGTTGTTCTGCAATTGATGAGGGAACAGCCTCACGTCGTAGCCGTTCGAGTTCGGCGCCATCAAATATATTTGAGCGTAAGATATACCAAACTCGGTCTGCCAGGTTTTGCTCGGTGACGGTAATAGATGGCTCCAGCTCAGTAAAAAGACGATGCATCCTAGCCCGATACGCGACCTCGGGCTGCTGGGTGGTTGTGCAGCACCTCGCGCTCGGCTGGCGGTACGCATGCTGTCGCGTCCAGCGCCAGCTCCAGATGCGCTCTAGCGACCTCCAGGCAGCGGCCCCTTGCGCAATCTTCTGTGTTCCATCATCTATAGTGGGCGTCATTTAACGGGAGACGCCCAGAGCCGGCGCTGTTTCATGGTGAGGCCATATGCACAAGCGGGCCCTTGCACCTTCAATTTTTGCCGAGGCACGGCGCTCACACCTCTTGGCAAGGTGCTGACTGACTGCGCGGACGTAGCAGTTTTGTCACATAACCGTCACGTCAGCGGGCGATGGGGTCGTCACTTCTCTACGCATGCTTATTATTATTATTATATGATAGATTTATAACAAATAAAAATACAATTAAATTATTATGATTTTATTTTTACATTATAATTATTACCAACTATTTTCCGTATTATGCGTGCTTTGCCAGATATATTTGAAAACGACATCAATAATTCTTCCCCAAATTGCATTTAATGAGTCATATACGATTTCATGTTCCAATTCGTCGAAATTGAAGTATTTCTCGTAAGGCTGCATCACAAATTCTAAGGCAAATGGTACACTATATACCTGCGAGCAAAACATTACAGAACTGCTTTATTTTGGAAGCTTCCTTCTTCCTTTCATCATCAGCCTTTAAAATCCACTGTTGGACATAGACCTTTCCCATTGTTGGGAAGATTTGCCTTATTTGTATTTTCTTATATAAAAAAAACGTTATACGCTAGGATTTTCTCCTGTATCGTGGAGGCATTTACATAAATAAATTACACAAGGACAAACATACAGATCCGGAACAGTTATTTGTAGGCCATAGAAATTACTTGTTCCGTGCGGGATTCGAACACGTGGCCCTCAGCGTCACAACTCATTGCTAAGCCACTGCACCATGGAGCGGTTTTGAATCGCTTGGCAAGTGGATTGTGATTATGTACCTGTTGTGATTATGTGGCTTCTGGTACCTTTGACACCACACGCCTTTGCTAGTTTGGGTCTGCCACGGATGAGAGACACACACGAGATGGGTACAACACTCGGAAGGAATACAACCTGCCAGCATTTTCTATAGTTGCCTATGAAGACACGACACGGAAAGTCAGACATTAGTGGGAATATGACCAAAACCTCACAGATAATTTAAGAGTGGGAGCACAAATTTTGCTGAACATATCATCATCGACACATCTTCCACAGATTGCATAATATTGGATATTTTTCATAGTTGCCATGCTTGGCACGCGGGTTAACAACCGAACCTTTTTCATTTTTCAGTTTTTTGGAGATGCTGCTGCCCATCTCATGATTTTTTGGCCTATGCCGGCGCTTACGACACAAACGATATGCGGTAGAGGATAATCTTACAACCACCACTACGCGGTCATAATTTTACGTGGCAGAGCCATGCTGCACCTATGTTGTGGTTGCAGCACGAATTGGTTAGCTCAACCGGGGTAGGACCACGCTCTCACAGAATACTAGCGTAAAATGGCAGCTTATGCTGCTGTATTTCGTATGGTGAGTGTAGAGAACCCAAGACCTTTTTTACTGGAAGCGAGGCATTCTATCTCAGTCCTCAGGAGGATGACAACGCATCTGCATTTTGATTCTTAATTGAAGATGAATGTAGATGTCTATGAGCCACAGAATCCACTTACCATCAGGTGCACTGTGTGCTCGTTTGTTGCCCATATCGATCGATATCACGTCGAAAATAAAAAAATAAATGTCTACTATTTGTCGATAACGATAACTTTATGATTACTCTGGGCAGACAGGTTGGTGATTACTGTAGATTTTCCCCATTTTTGTCAATCGTAGCCTCAGCCCAGAACCTCATCTTCTCACTATTTTAATGGTTTCCTCTTTCATATCTTGGTTGCTACAGAAACAAGGCGAGGCGAGTTAATGGAGTCACTAACGCCGCCGTATTTGTACATAATAATAAAATATTGACGGCTCCATAGCACTGTATCTAAGTACTTTGCCACTATACAAATAATCGTTACGTGTCTGGGTCATGTGCATTTTATGTATATAAAATGCTTCCACTCCTTTTGCTTATTTACACTTGTTTTATAAAACTATTGTTATATTTGTTGCTCGACATCATAATTGAATCAAAAATTATAAAAGGCTAATATCAAAATTCATAAAAATAAAGGTAATAGTACCGTAGAAGCGTAGTCGACGCTACTTCCACTTATAGTCCCATACCAGCTTTGCAATGTGTCTACAGTAACTGACATCACACGAAAACTTGCGTTTCTCATAGCTTCATCTATTTCTCCTTTTAAGTCTATATATAAGTCATCGTCTTCTTGTACATCGGTATATCCTTTTGGGTACAAGACAGCTTCGCCCTAGAAAAAAAATTCAGCAAACATAAACATTTCGAAGACAAATCGTATAGACTTTTATATTCGCCGTGAGATCGTTGTAAAAAATTGTGGTAACACTGGTGTAATCACGAAAAATAAGTGCCTAGTCGTCTTTTTTTGTCCCTTAATGTTTTGAATATATTTTAGTTTGCTCAGTTGTTGTTGTACAGGGTTCAATTTCTGTGAAATTCCCGAATTTCAACACAACTCTGCTATAGAAAAAAAGGTTTGTATTGTGTACGTTTGTATGTTATTAAACCTTTCTAACTAACTATATCTATATGGAGTATTATTTACCCCTATAAACAATGAATTTAATATAGCATTTACTTCTAAAAGATTTTCCAGTAACAGTCGCAAGGCATTTAGTGAGTGGGCGACATTAGGAATTCATAAGAGCCCTCATCGGAAGACTAACAAGCTTCATGTCGGGCAATAACAGGCCAAGATTTGTGCGCATCGTCAGGATGGCGTTTGCTTGGACAAATGTAAATTTATCGCAGCCAGATATTATGAAAAATTGACGGAGAGCTTAGACGACCTGAATCGGAGAATCGCTTCCTGGGAAAAGTGGATTTAGCGATATACCGAGAAGTTGACACCGTCCAACCAGAATCGTCTCTACCAGAGTAATCAAAAGAGATATCTATAAATCATTGGAACGACCAATGGTACGTGGAACAGGCCAAACATCGATTCAGGCTGACACTGTCGCATTCTGGCGCAGTCTGTGGTCACAGAGAGAACCCTTGGATGGAAGTTGTGGTAAGCCAATGTGTGAATATTACGCCCATGGACCCCTTCATCATAACACCAGATGAGTAGCTAAGGCGGTCCGTTGGAGTCCCCGAACTGGAAAAGTCCGTGACTCGACGGTCTGCATCACTACTGGCTATAGAGGATCATGGTCTGCCAGGCTGTACTCGCCCGACAGTTTCAAGAGTTTCTTGACCAGAAGTCGCTCCCGAGCCTCTTCACTACTGGGATCACTCATATGGTACCTAAAGAGCAGGATAACACAGATCAGAGCAAGTACCGTCCTATCACGTGTCTACCGACCATATACAGGATACTAACATTTTGAGCGCGAGAACTATTCGTCACCTGGACTCAAATCAGGTAACGTCGTGCGCTCAAAATAGATTTCAAGCGATGGTCGTGGAACCAAGGAACTACTCCTTATTGATGCGGTCATTGGCAAGGCGTTTAAACTCAAACATCGGAACTTCTCCTCCGCCTGGATAGACTACAGAAAGGCATTCGACTCGGTGCCTCATACATGGCTGAAGAGGGTCCTCGAGCTGTACAAGGTTGACTGTACTGTTAGAGACTCTCCTCAGTAGAGTCACCTCGGGCAGTGTCGTCGTTGTTATTACGTGGCAGAACCATACTGCAGCTATATCAGTAGTATAGTTGTAGCACGAATGGGTCGGCTCGCCCGGGGAAGGACCATGCTCTCACTGAATACCAGCGTTAAAAAGCAGCTTAACGCTGATGTGTTTCGTATGGTGAGTGTAAAGAACCGGAGACCACTTTTTACTGGAAATGAAGTATTCTATCTTAGTCCTCACGGGTGACACCGCATTTGCATTTTGATTCTTAATCGAGGATAGATGTAGATGTCTATGGGCCACAGCAACCACTTATCATCAGATGGACTGTGTGCTCGTTTGTTACCCTTCTCCTATAAAAAATTGTATGAGGCAGTAGAGGACGATTTTTTGTCATCTAGGTGAGCGGATGATGTCTGCGGAGGACCACATAAGGATGAGAAGAGTGTCTTCCAGAGTGATTATTTGAGTCCAATTTGATTTTGCATCTCTCTGAATCCTCTCAGTACCTTACTGTAGGGCTCCGGGAGGGTATTTCAGCTTCGTAAAGGAGGTACATAAGTGACCTACCTTTTCTATATAGATGATCTCAAATTATTCGCCTCTGGTCGCTCCCATCTTATTAATTTGCTAAACATCACGTATGATTTTAGTAATTCTATTAGAATGGAACTGGGGACGAACCGCACAGTTACGGTCCTACATCTTGAGAGGGATAAGATAGTTAACTCTAAGGGCATAGACTTATCTGTGACCATCAACATTAGGCTTTAGTGGGACCGAGCCATCATCGCAGACAGGACTAGTCTTGCGAATAAGCCTGATATTCTTCTGATAGACCTGGCACGGTCAAGGATATTTTTGGTTATTACATTATATTACATTACCATTTCGTATGACGAGAACCTCGTGAAAGAAACAGATAAGAAATTAAAATATCTGGACCTGGCTCACGAGATGAGCGATATATGGGATGTTCTGCCGACCTAAATTATTCCTGTGGTTGTCTCTGCGAACGGGTTAATCCCTGTCAGCCTCTCGGATCATCTAAGGTGACTGTGACTCCGTGACTGACCACTCCGGGTTCAAATACAGAAGGCGGTGCTCATTGTCTGGTTTCTTTCCCTTTCCCCCTAACCCTCAGCCGTTTGGTCTCCTTGCCGAGAGCTTCCATCCGGTTGGACTTTTTTTATTTATGTATTATTTATGTTAGTATATTTGGTACATGTTTATGCATATTTTTTATTATATACTTATATATATATATATATATATATATATATATATATATATATATATATATATATTAAGCCCAATCAGATGAAATCTCTTATACTTAAGAATTCATTTGATCAGAAGTACTCGTATATTTCTCCTTACACCTTCCTCTCCTTACTACACATAATTGAAAGATATAAAAAATCAATAAAAGTAAGGAATCAATAATTAAATTCTTATGCTTTTTGATTCAGTGTCTTTTTTTCATTAACTTACCCTAAAAGTTGATTCGCTATGACCTCCCGCATGGACATGAATATACGCAATTATTTTGTGATTATAATGATAAAAAATTTTGCGAATCACTTGTGTCTCAACTTCGGAAAACGGCACAAGACCTGGATAGTGTTGACTGCAGGAGCTTAACAAGCGACTAGAGTTCCACGCCACGTCGAAGTTGCGATCCAATGCCACTCCAGGGCACGCTTTTTGCGGAGATACGTTTTTATTCCAAAAGAAGTCCTACAACGTAAGTCATAAGTGAAATTAACATTTATATATCCAATTCAATTTATTTGCTATTCTTGTTGATCTTGAATACAAAAAAAAGTTAAAAACAAGGGCACTGCAAATATTGGCTGTACTGTTAATATTATTATTACATTTACATTATGGTACTATTAATTAAAATTATCAATTTACGAATATTTACAATTAACTTAAATATTAACGAGATCATAGTATATTATTTATTCCTATTTCCTACTCAATCACTAAAAAAACTCCTCCAACAACAACAAATTATAACACTTTTTCGTTAAATATGTGCCGGTGCCCACATATACACAATATATACAAAATATTGTTAAGATTAAGACACCAAAAGGTACATCAAAAGTAATTTGCCTTGAGTTGTGGAGATTACAGATTAGAGCCGCCTTCGCACCAAAATTCACGTGGATAGGCTTACTAAAAAGAACAAATCTAGTGTGCATGCACACATTCCAATAAATTTTATGTTTCAATAAAAGTAATACCCTATATACGTCCCACTCCTGGGCACAGGCCTCCTCTTATTTCTCAGAGAGTTTTAAGACAAGGAAGTGCGCTGCCGCAATGCGAGTCTTTTTTATTTTTAAGACTTGCCAGCTTAAACACGTATTAAGTTAGCACTTAAAATTGCATTGTTCAAACTGATTCCAGCCGCACAATTTCACCATCGCACATCGCGGCAAAACTCGCGACACCAACTATACCATCTGGATGACTGTCGGTCCACAACTGTACGATTTAAAAGGAGTTTTCTTCCTTACACAACTTCTTTGTGGAATCGACTACCACCAAAGATTTTTTCGGATCGATACGACTTTGGGACCTTCAAGAAAAAGCCTACTCCTTTTTAAAAAGTCGGCAACGCATCTGGAATACCCCTGATAATCACTTACCATCAGGTGAGCCGTATGCTCGTTTGCTCCCTTTCCTATAAAAAAAATTTCACTGGTGCGGTCGGGATTCGAAACCGGATCATAGTTATTGCGAACAATACAGGGAGCGCTTAGCCTCTGAACTGTGATAAATCGCATGTCACAACTCCGATCAATTATACTTTAATGAAAAACAATCTCAAAAGAACCCTAGGATGGCCTTAGACATCACTACATTACTTGAATACATAATTCTACATAATTCCCTCATTCATCACAGACAATAACGACCAAGTGTACAGATTCGTTAAGTCATGCAATTCAACTTTTAACCTAAGTTCAGCGGACCAGAAGTCAGTACTTTTAGTATACGTTTCAAACATTATCACTGGTTTATACTAAAAACGAGCAAGGAAAAATTACAAATAGAGCTTTGCTACAAGGGTTTTAATGAACATCTTCTGACTTACTGCTGAATCGCTGCTGCTTAGATTGAATACTTACCGGATAGTTTAATCCGTCCGGATTCGCCAAGGGTATTAAAAAAATATCAAACTTATCCAAATGCTCAAAGTAATACGACAACAATTGAATAAAATATGGACTTTCATCGAGACATGGTATATTTTTGAATCCCATAATACTGAGGCCGTGAACGATAAAAATTATCTTCTTCTGCAATACGTCGTCCGCGTACTTCGTCTCGTCAACGGCTCTATAACGCGCGTTATCCTTACGTTCGGTTATTTTAAGTAACACGATATCATTGTATTCTACAGTTCTTCCTATAACTTCAACAGATATATTGGCATTCGGAAATGCAGGAATTATTCTGATCAACTGTCTGTGAATCTGAAACAAGTTTTTTTTTTTCATAACAACCACAAATTATTCACATGTTATTTAATATTCAGCAGTTCTCAGGAATACTCACACTGTATGGATCAAGATAATAATACGGTTCATCATTTGTATTTCGGAGTTTCCCTCTGTGCAAAAAGTCATGAAATTTTATTAATAAAACAGTTTCGCTAGGATAACAAAGAATCCGATAATACGACTCAATGAAGGCACTACGAAAAAAGTACGGTGAAATTGAGACGAAATGCGGACCTCAAGCAAATTATATCACGATGCTAATAAAAATAATATAATTGCGCCTCCTATTCGTGGTTTATATACTATATATATATAATATATATTATATATATATATATATATATATATATATATATATATATATATAATTTTTTTATAGTATACTTCCAACTTATCATTTTATGTAGTTATGTAGTAAGTAATTAATTTACAGTTAAACTGACAAATAATATTTTCTACTAGCAACCGTTATTTAAATTAAAGATTATAAAGAATTATTGACCCGGGATCCCGCCAAGTCGAGCAAAAAAGCGGCACGGCCGTACCATACTTTTCTCGAAGCAATTCAGGCTATTTTCGACCCCCTATAACTTCGTAGTGGATATTACTAGAAACCAGAATTTTCAGAAACCAAGCAGGCATTGTATAGACACGGTATATTTCGAATTTCATTAAATTTGAACCAGTAGTTTAGGAATTATAATTAGTCAATGTAATTAAATATAATATAAGTTATGTTTTGATGGCATCTATATTTATCTTTCTTATATACAACAAGTAACATAATTAACGCACTTTGAGAAACTAGTTTGTTCAGAATCGTTTACTGAATCGATTCCTATCATTTTTAATATAGGTATTTTTTATCCCAGAAATAAAAAAAACTACGTAAATTACAGTCACACTAAATCTGTACAGTCAAAACAAACTAAAATGGCTAAATGGATGAAAGACTTTTAAGAGTGCAGTTTTATTTGCATTATTACTAATTCTGTCATTCAATAAAAATAAAGAAAAATGGACTTTATTTCAAGCACGTTAAAGACTTTGTGTTCGTGGATTTGTACTGTGACCACAACATTCTTCCGGAATTAGTATAACTATTTGATAAATAATCAATGCATAAATGTTTAACTAAAAATTCAGTGTATGTATTATGATTATACATAATATACTAATTGGGATGTCTGACGGTGTGCCTTAATTACGTTACATACTGTATATATATATATATATATATATATATATATATATATATACATATATATACATATATAAATTTATTAAATTTATTTATTTAAATCATCTGCCACGGTATAGGTTGCCTGACAGAAAATGCTAACTTAAGTCCGCTGTTTGTAACCTTTATGGATAATACAATAAAAATTTTAAATTGGAGTATAGGCGTGCACGCACTACCAAAAAGCCAGGTCAGTTTACATATTCGGTAACCAATTAATTTTACACGTAATAGCACAATTAACGCTAAGTTTTCATTAGTAATGTCTGCAGTTTCTTTTGTAACAAAAAGCTTGACAGCAATATTATGTACAATATCAAACCGTTGAGGTGTCGAACCTCTGAAGCTCTTGTCAACGTTTTGTTCTCTCCTTTTCTTTAAAAGCCAATCCTTTTAGGATCTTTCTTTTGTATCCTGAAGGCGTTTTACATACATGAATCACATATGCATTAACAAAAAAAGTCTTATTTCCCATAAATGTAGAAACTGTTGATAATAACACTGCGCGACCTGTCTGGTCTTAGAATAAGCATATGAACCGTCGTTTCTATTTAAAAAAATATCGTGTGCGTATAACTTCTATCGGTCTAGTCTTTCAGATATTCGACGATTACTAGCAGACACACCAACGAGTATTATAAATTGAAGGGGATAAAGATTGTGGTGAATTTGTGTTTTAAAATGATCTAAGATATTAATTACGTTTCAGTAAAATGAGAAAATAATAATAAAATTAAATTGGGATCACTTACTTATTTGTTGTTGTTCTCAAATGTTGTTTGATTGAAGGTACGGCTGTAGTCCCTATCCTCGCGTAACCTCGAATATGACCATCAGTCTTAGCCCTTATAAAAATAACTAATCGGTATTAATACATTTATAGTATCTCTTTTATCTTTTTTTTAAACATTACCTCCACACTAGGATTTCCTCCTGTATCGTGGGGGCAGTTTACAAACAAAAATTTCACAAGGACAAACATCCAGACATACAAATACTTGTTCCGTGCGGGATTCGAACCCGCAGCCCCCAGCGCAGCCACTCATTGCTAAGCCACTGCGCCACGGAGCCGTATAAGAGAAACAAGTATAGAGTGACAAGTATAGAGTGACAGGAATAGTATAAGAGTGACAACCTAGGTCTAGGACACACGGTCCACCAGATGGTAAGTGGATACTGCGGTGCATAAACATACATCTATTCTCGATAAAGAATCAAAACGTTGATTTGAATATCTGGAAATGACTTGTCGCCACTGAAGACTAAAATTAAATGTTTCGTTACCAATAAAAAAGGGTCTGCAGTTCACTTAACACTTAACTTATGAAACACAGCAGCATTCAGCTGCTATTTTACGCTAAAATTCTTTGAGAACGTGCACCTTTCCCGTTCGAGCCCACCCATTAATGTTGCAAGCTTATTATGTGTTTTAGGGCATATATAAAACACTGTCCAGACCGTCAATTCATCAAATGGAAGGCCGCCCTACACTTCTTTTACCGATACGAAGATGCCGCTCGAGTACCTTTCTTCCTCATCGGTTTTCGGTACTTTGAGAGATATTTCTTACGTGGTAGAGCCATGCTGCAGGTATATTGTGGTTACAGCATGAATGGGTCGGCTCGACCGGGGATGGACCACGCTCTCATAGAATGCCAGCGTAAAATAACAGCTTAATGCTGCTGTGTTTCGTATTGTGAGTGTAGAAAACCGGAGACCCTTTTTACTGGAAACGAGGCGTTCCACCTCAGTCCTCAGGGCTGGCAACGCATCTGCATTTTGATCCTTAACTGAAGATAAATGTAAATGTTGATGGGTCACAGCATCCACTTACCATGAGGTGGACTGTGTGCTCGTTTGTCATCCTTATTCTATAAAAAAATGTGGCCGATTATTCGTTAGTAATTGTTTGATGTAAATACTAAGAATAACGTCAAAACTAGATCTGAAAATCTGATGCTGTAATTACGAATCTGCCTCACAGGTAAGATTAAGGGAAACCCTTTCTACAATGAAATCGGCCCATGTCAAGCCATGGACTGTTACGCAGTAAAGAGAAGAATTACTTATCAAAGTAATCCTCTACTAAGTAAGACATGCAGGAAGCCAGGAGATCACAGGTGCTGCTAACAACTATAATATATATAATATGCTAATGTATATATATATATATATATATATATATATATATATATATATATATATATATTACTTATCAAACTTTATTTTCATATAATTAATATTAAAATTTATTACACACAATATAAAAAACTATAATATAGAAAAAATAAAACTAATAATTTAAATAAACAAAAAGTCTTGCTTCCCGTGGTATAGTGCCAAGAACGCTGGCTGCATTTCCTCGCTGAATAGCTTTACTTAGTCTTTGAGCGAGAAAAGAACCAGCCCTCTTGTCACCAGCAACGACGACCAGTCGTGGATACAGTTCCTTTAAAAACTTCACTGCACGTGGACCCACGGACTGATAATCTCTACAGCAAATGGCACAAATATGTAGTCATTTTTCAAAGACTCATATTTGCGCCATTCTGATGACGCCTCGGCTCTAAAAGAGGTACCCTTGAGATGAGAGGTCGCCAAAGTGTCAACGCAAGTAGCATCCCACACTAGGGCTATACCTCTCTCCCAAGGGACCAAACTCATACCGTCGGGTCTCTTGCCATCGTCTGTAAAACCGAGGGAATATTTATGGAGACAAGAGCCCTTCGGTTGACTTCGTTCAAAGAACCGTGACTGGAAGACCTACCTGCACTTTTCTTACACGAAGTAAACACTAGTATTAATTATATTTACTTATCAAAGTAATTCTCCCTCTCTTCACTTAAAGTTTAATGGAATATAAATTGCATTAAAATTTCTTTAATTTTTGCTTGTTAAGAGATCTTCACTTTATTCTACATTATTTTTAAGATCTTGAATACTATGTAAACTTATATTTTTGATATTTTTTCGGTTCTACATAAAGTTTTTCCATAGCATCATTTCCAACATACCTTTTCAGTTCCCCCTTACATATCACTGAAAAGCATTAAAAAGTATTAATAAATAATGAAGGTATGTAATGCAAAATTACATTATTTTTCCTTATATTATGTCATTTCGAAATCTTAATTTGACGTGTGATGTACGCGTAAACCATTATATGTTCTGAGAAGTAAAGTGCTTCATAAAACACTTAATGCTGGTAGTAAAATAACGCTTCTTTCATTTTTCCTAAAAATAATATGGAACACCGAAGATGATATTTTTTTATTTATTGATTATTGTATACCAAATACAAAATAGAGACAAAAGCAAATATCACATATGTGTGAGATATGTACCATAGGCGGTCTTTTCACTCTGAAATTGATTTCTTCCAAACAAACTGTGCATAAATAACTGATATAGTTTAAGTAAAAAGTAGATGGGTGTACGAAAGAAAAGAAGCTACGAAAGAAATATAGACAATGTTGTCCTCCTTTACTTATTTTTATCTATAAGTCACCTAGAGTTAATATAATAAGGCGTATATCATTCTACAATACCTGTCCTGATATCAAGAAATAGGAAAAATAGTACTTCAGTTAATACATAACATAGTCGATATTGAACCATTTTTTTAACATAGCATTATTGTCGTGAATGCTTTTTATTTTAAATGGATTCTAAGATCTTTACATAGTTTATGGCTTAATGTAATATTGGACCATTGTAATGGATTTGCTATTTCACATGAACGAATTTTATGTTACTTTTTCAAATTGTTTTACATTTTATTATTGATACAAATCAAATACGTTATAATACAAATATTGTGATACAAAGTGAAACGTTAGATACTGATGAAAAACAAATTAAATAAAAAGCGAATTTCCAAAATTATTTTACCGTGTCAACAAAACACATGATCAGTCACGCAAATAACGTAATCTTAAATAAAAATATATTATATGCGGGAGGTATAATCAGTATTGTTTTAAATTTAAATATGTGAAGAACCTTTACAGTGTTTTCTTTATCATAATATCACATTTATTTACATCGTAATCAGAATTTTTATTGTCATTGAATTGTCAATGGCAAATATAATAAATATTTTATAAATTAATTAATAATTTAACTTATAATTATAAATAACGTTTAAATAAAAAATAATTTTATATGATGAAGACGGAGATGAATAATTTAGAAGAGCAGGAAAACGCTACCAATCCGGCGTGTGAAATTCGCAGCCTACGTGCTGAAATGTTATGTCTGTAACATCATCTCAGCTATGCAATATCTATAGTAATTGAAGCGTTCCTTGATGACTCTGTAGAAGATTCGGAAATGATTGGCGTGGACTAGAACATTATACGTCGCGAAAGACCAACAGCTTGTGGTGGAGTCCTTCTTGCTAGTCGCCCACCTATCCGCTACGACACGACGCGCTACGACGACGGCAAGATCTTGAGCAAATTACGGAGAAGATCTGTGGGCTTGTTTTTATGGAAAGGTGTAGAGTACAACACTTAAATACGAATTTATATAATATAGAGACTTTGAGTGCTATAAATATAGTTTTACATTTTTTACTTTTTTAATGAATACTGGCGCTCCGGTATATTCATAGCTGGATTTCCTACGGTGTCAAAATTGTACTGACGGTAGGCTGTTTAAAGGTAAAAGGGGACTAAATACACATTAAACGATGCCATAGTAAAAATATTTCGGCTTCACAGCCTACCGTAGAATAAAATTTTTCACTTTTTTTCGAACAACTCTACAATTTTCATAGTAACATACCAGTGTTTAAAAGAATTCCCAGAGGTGCAAGAATACAACTTGCTAAAACATTGTCGTGCACTATTCAAAATTGTTTTACGAATTGTGAAAATAGCAAAAAATTATTTACATTCGCATATTCCCACTTTCATTTTAATAAAACAGTAAATAAATGAATTGCGTATCAACTAAAAGAGACTTCTTTTCAAAATTTAGATTACTCAACTCATTTATCTCGACCTCGTCCTAAATTTTATTTTAAAAAAGTTGTTGAATCGAAAATAATGGATGGCGATTTAAAAAATGCATCCCGTACTTTATTCTCTAACGACATCCTGGCTCCTCGTAATATCGAAACTCTTGAAGGCCTTCGTCAGAAGCATCCTTCGGTCAATACTTCTCAGAATTTACCTATGCCTACCAGTACTTCTATGCAACCTTTAGAAATTTCTGAAAAAGACACTTTAGACGAAATCCTATCATTTTCGAATGGCTCTGCCGGCGGTATTGACGAATCCCGTCAATCAAACATCTTTGAGATGTTGACGCATGAATTACTCCTCTTACTATCGTGAAGCACGTCTGCCGGTGACGCCGGTAGAGTACATCTTAATGACTTTACAAAGATAAATGTAATTTCATGCTTTCTGGGAATGTCAATCCCAATTTCATTCCCTACTTATATGACGCAAGATTGTGTGCCTTTAAAAAAGGATTACAGTATCCGTTCTACTGCTGTTGGTACCACATTTCGACGCTTAACTTCAAAATTAGCTAGGGCTTTGGTACTAGGTGGCGGTACATTTGGTGCGTACTTTTTTAACAAATTTTAATGCAATTCTTCTGAAGGTTGACCTTAGAAATGCTTTTAACTCTATCGATAGGGTATCCCTGCTGAAAGAAGTGGGTAACAATACTCCTGAAATCTATCATTAGGTTTGGCAATGTTACAGTTAAAAATCGAACTTGTTTTATGAAAAACATATTAATGATTCTGCTTGCGGTGCTCAGCAGGTTAACCTACTAGGTCCGGCTCTTTTCGGTACACTGGGAGGTAAAGCAGATGAAGTTGTCACTGATCTTACTCATATTTTTCAAAAGTTTTAAAATATTGGTCTGGAACCAAATGGCAATAAATTTAAAATATTTATTTCCAATAATTCGTATAATTCTAACAGTGATACTATAATTCAAAATTTCGATCATATTCCTCCAGGAATAAAAACAGTCAATGCGGAATCACTATACGTGCTTGGTGCTCCGTTATTTTTCGATAGTGTTAAACCTGTTTTAAAAACAAAATTTGATCAATTTTTAAACCACGTTGATAAATTGTATATATTAAACCCCCACATTTCCCTTACTATATTCAAATATTGTCTTCTTGTACCTATATTTTAAAAGATATTGATAATAATTTTAAAATACCTTTAGAAAAAAAAACGACGAGTTGCACTCCGGGAGTGTCGGCAGAAGTGAAAACTTGAATATTAACGTTGTGCATTTTTGATATTTTGAAATGGTTAGGGAATAATTTTGCACGAATTGCTTTAATTATCAGTATAAAAGTAATATTATTTATGTGGTAGAATACAATATTAATTTATTGCGCTATCGTACACAAACATGAAAATTTATATTACATTACAAAGTTTATGTCTCAGCAAAATCAACTTCCTTTCTACTCTCCCTCCGTCTTACGAATTTTCGATCAGGTCACGTGTCCTGACGCGAGTTTAAGATATTTTACCCATTACAAAAAAGTGTACAATACCGCTAAAGAAGTTTTCACTTCAAAATTCTAAATCTGACTTTAAATACAAATAGCCTGGAATCAAGCCACTATGCCTATAAAATTTGGTGGTATTGGTGTAAGAAATCTTTTCAGCGTCGCATTGCCTGCTTTCCTTGCTTCCGTGCATAGTGTCAGTGAGTTATGTAACATAATTTTAAATAATAAAGTTGACCTGTGCTTTGCTGCGGAGGCAAGGCAAACATGGCTAACGCTATGTCCCGGCGAAAATGTCCCACTGGAAGTTAACCAACAAAAACAGTGGGATATTCCATTGGTACGGAGTGTGCAGAAAGATTTATTTCACAATTTTCACAGTGACCAAGATCAGGCTCGCCTTCTAGCTGTATCGACAAATGAATCTAGTCACTTGTTACATGCTCTACCATCAAGTAATCTCGGCACATTGCTTGATGGGGAAAACTTGCGCATCGCGGTAGGAATCCGTCTGAGAGCGGCAATTTGTCAACCTCACCTGTGCCCCTGTGGTAGCAGCCTCGATGAGTTTGGCCTCAGAGGACTTTCATGTAAGAAAAGTGCAAGTAAGTTTTCCTGTCAGGGTTCTTTTGAACAAAGTCATCCGGAGGGCTCGTCTCTATAAATGTCCCCTCGGTTTTAGAGCCTTGCGGGATATTTAGAGACGATGGCAAGAGACCCGACGGTATGACTTTAGTCCCTTGGGAGTGAGGTAAAGTCCTAGTGCGGGATGTTACTTGCGTAGATACTTTGGCGGCCTCTTATCTGAAGGGTACCTCTATTAATTTTATTATTATATTTAATTAATTTCGGTCCCGGCGGCTAGTCTTATTGAAGACTAGCCATCTGCGCAGGAGAGGGTTATAATGCACGATTGTGACCGCAAGCAGAGGTGCATCTTCTACTCTCACGCCAATGTTTCGGTAAACAGCGGTTGGAGACGACCGTAAAAATATAAACATGTGACCAACAGCTTCCAAGGCACGATAGTGAAACACCGTCAATTTCCGGACTCCCGTTTTGACCCGACCTGGGATTCGAACCGTTACCGCATGACCAGCAGTCGGTCTACGGCCACTAGTCATTAGTCATTTATTCCAAAAACAATATATATTGTGTAGGTACTAGACCGACGTGGCAGTGAGACAAGTTTTCTTTTAACTTGCTGAAAGAAGAAAAGCTGATAGGTAGGTAGTAGAGTTTTTCTTTAAAATTAACACTTTTATTTTAATATTATTTAAATTTTTAGATTAGGTGGAGGGGCACGGAATCCATCCTACGACGTCTGGTTACTTTAAAGATCGCTTGAGATAAATTTACCTTTACTCACTGTCAATCATTCTTTTCCTAATCCTTGATTTCTCTCTCCTTTGCTCTTCTTTCCATTTTACATTACAATAAAAAGTATTTTAATTGACTTTTAAAGAAGACATTGCATACATTTTTATACCGTATTATACATTAGCAAATACTTAGAGAACAAACAACTATAACAAAATGAGCCATATACTTTGA